CCCAGCGCTGCCCTGCTGCTGACGGATGATTTACAGATGCTCTTTTGCTTCCTCAAGTGTTTGTATCAAAGAAATCCTAGAGAAAGGAAAGGAACATGAAGAGATAAGTGTTACATTTCTACCTATTGGCTCCCAGCTTTAGCAGCTAAAAGGAAGAAACTGAAAAACTTGAGTCCTTAAATGCCTGTATGCCGCACTTGAAAGCTTCCCGATTTGTTTTATATTCCAAATCAGCCGTTGTTAACATTTACAATCAGCAATAAGCAGGCACTCACTCAGTTCCTGCATGTGTATGCGAAGAAGTGCCTGAGATAGATACAAATATATTTCCCTCAGCCTAGTCGTTTGCCAATCAAAAAGAACCCTGTAGTACACTTAGCCCAAAGCAATCAGCCCAGTGCATTCAGACCAAGCCACTGTGTTCTTCGGCAGCCTCGGCCAAAGCGCGAGGTTATCTCCCATTTGCAAGACAGAGCGTGTACGCTGCTGCACTTACAGAACAGAGATTTGGAAGGTTTGTCTGGAAAATAGTTAATATGAATTACTGTATGACAAGAACTTGCCAGCTTAAATTTGGCCCAAATAGTAAGGTTTTGTTAACCAGAGCTATGTGAAAACTTAACAATTGAAGTATTTCCATCAGCTAAAAAAAATGCCACTGCTGACCTTAGTGGGCTATTTTGTGCATGAGAAATTCAAAACTTAAACTGTTTGCAAGTGGTAATGCTGAAGTGCTGAGCTCATGCATGCAAACTTTAAAGTTCGATCGATTACAAGCTGACTGGAGTGAAGATAACATTGATTATTCCCCTATTATTCTCCTGGAGGAGTAAGTTTATAGATGGCTGCACAATGCACCACCCAATGAATTATTGGAAATGATCCCATTTTAATCATCTCTGTTATTTTTACTGGGGGTAAAAAATAATTTCACAGTGATGGCATTTCACGAAACAAAGAGACATCTTCTGTTTGAAAGTAGTGTAGAAAGGGTCTCTAACTGTGTCTGCTCTCTGCCTTGCTTTATGTGTATTTGCGTTCTTAGTCTTCTGATCTCTAAAATTAAATGTATTACTCACCTACCTCACACAAATATTGGAAAGATCAACAAACTCATGTTTGTTACAGTGCCATGACAAGTCAAAAGAGGTAAGCATGGAGGATTTATTTTCTAGTTTCTTGCTGGACTTGCATTTTCAGGCAGGGGATTGGGGAATGCAGAAAGTGGCCTCTCCACCACTACAAATAACCATGGGGTGCAGAGATGCCATGGGGCCATCAGGCCGAATGATCACAGCGTAGCAAGGGAAGGGTCAAGTGCTGAGGAGCTCTTTACCCTCAGCTCTTGGTGGCTCTGTGGTCAGGAAGTTGGCAGAGGAGCTTTTGCCACAGCAGTTTTCTCTGCCATTGTCTGCCCGTGACCCAGCTTACACGCTCATGGACATCCCTCCCATTTTCCAGAGACTTGAGACACTGAAGTCCATGTAGATGACAAGAGTAACACCAAGAAATAACGATAAGGGAAACACATTCCTCCACTTGAGAGACTTTGTACTTGTTCAAATGGTCACCCATAAACATGCTGTGCTTGCTTTTCTTGGTACAAGATGTGTTTGGGCTGTTGCCCTTGTGCTATGGCAGGTCCTGCCTTTGCTGGACACTGATGTGCAATTCCCTTGTCCAGCCCTTTGGCTCTTTTCCTCTTGTACATCTCCCACTTCTGCTAAATCAAGCTTATTATTAGTCATTGTATTTGGGCATTTATAGGAAAAGGGATTCTGTATCTCAGATACAGAACTGCAAACTTGAAAATGGTCAGGCAGGGAAGGATGAAGGGCGTCTGAAATGTGCTGCTGGGGAGGGCTGGTGGAAGAAGGCTGACTTTGTTTGGAAGATTAATTTTAACTTTGTTGAGCCACACAATTCCTTTCTGTTAGATAGTGTAGGCGGAGCCCTAGATGCTTAAAAGCAAATCTTCAACAGCATGCTTAATTGCTTACATCAGCCTGTCTCTTGTCTTTTACTTTCATTTGGGGGAACAATAAACAAAGCGATCACTGTTACTGCCAGAGTGGTGCTCTCCTGCATGTGCACGCGTGGGGAGGAGAGTCTGCTGCCGGTTTCGCTCCGGAGGTGCAGACCCAGAGAAAGTGTACAACTGAGATTATACGACTGAGCTGATCTGAAGGCTTATGGATGCCAAAAATGAGGCTGTCATTGTCTCTTCTGCCCCAGTGCTTGCCAAGCCCTTGCTAAGTGGCCACAGCCCACCTGGGTGGGTGACTGTTAACCCAGATGACAAGAGGGAGCAGTGGTCTACAGGGCTGAGAGGCTGCACCAGATTTTTCTGGGAGAAAGCAACAATTCCCTGTGCCACCAGCTTCTGCAGCACTCAACCATGTTTGGACTGTGACACTGTCCCAGTTCAGTGCATCTTGGCTGAAGAGATGGGGACGTGCCTACAGCTGTGGGCTCAGGAGCCTCAGTGTCTCCATCAAAGAGACTCAGTGTCCTGCTTCCCCATCCCACCTCCTGGATTCCATATAGGTCCTCCCATGGAACTGTGCCAGCCTTGATCCTCACTGAACTGGTGTCCAGCAGAATAAGCCCTGGGAAACTCCCACTGCCATGGATGGGCATCTGCTGTGGTCAGGAGCAGGACCTCTGCCCAGGGGACCAAACTGCATGAGAGTAGTATTTTTCAGGCTGGTGAAAAGAGCCAAAACAAATCTCTTCCTTTCACTATGGAAAGTGAAAACTGTCAATGAAACGATGACCAGTTGATGTAATCGTGTGGGCACTGCAGGACTGACAGACAGTGACCCCACTTCAAATGGCAGAAGATGCCCAAGGAGTCAAGCCTTTGTGTTAAACTACAAGAACAATTTAAATTCCTCACAGCTCTCCCCATTTAATTCTGTGGCTCCCAGGATTGAGAGGAGGTGCCGCAGAGTATGCAAGTGGAGTTCTCTCGTTCAGGGTGATTTAAAAGATACAAAAAACCACCCCAACTGTTTTGCTTTGAGATGTGTGGCAAGGAGGAGGGAAAGAAAAAGCAGCAACATGACTGGAATAACAAGGCCACGTTTTCTGTTACTGCCTCAGATGTGGAAGATATCAAACCGACAGGAAAATGCCAGAACACATAAGGTTGCACATTCATCCAGGAACAAGGCGATTGACTATGCAAGCTATGCTCAGGCAGAGCTAAAAGCAGACACTTGCCCGAGCAACCGTTTGAATATGAACAGCTGTCAGAATGAATTAATAGCAGATTTCAAATAAGAAAGCACAGATACAGTAAATCCTATTTCAATTTATCATGGATGTATCCAGAGTTTCTTTTCTTCCTGAGGTACAGTGCAGTTCCTAGTTCAGTCTGCCAGCCCCATGGAAATGACTGAAGTGTTCAGTTGTAGCAGCAAAGTGTTGCCGAACTGCTGCTTTTTACACCTTTAAAATAATATTTGAAATGGTTTGGTGGATCACCTGGAAAATCAACCAGAGGTATGCAGTAAGAAATGTCTGAGAAGATGATTTCCGGTAACAAAGAGAGGTAATACAAACTATTAAGTAGAAATGCTTTGCCTACTTTTTTGTTCCCGTTTGCTGGACAGGTGCTTCAGAGTGTGGTCCAGTGGGCAGTCGCACACTGGCTTATACAAAAACGGGTTCCGTTGCTGGCAACTTTGCCTACAACTCCTTATTCCACATGGGCTGCCTGAAGTGTACGAGAACTCATTTGTCACCAATATAGATGACTTCCCTGTTTTTCCAATTTATTCTGTATCTGGTTTTCTTTCTAGGTAAAGCTAGACTTGAAGGCTCCAAGTAGCCTTAATGTCTTGGCTCTGATTTTAATTTCCTTTAATATTGAATGAGAAGATGAGCTCTTGTTTTCCAAGCTGATTATTGGAATCTGCAAGATCATCCTGCAGGATGTCTTTCCCACTTATTTCTTTCAGTTTTGGCGTTTCTGCTAGTAACAACTAAATAAACCAGGAGCTAAACAAGAAGGATATCAGGAATTAGCCTCAAAAGCAAATTTTCATCTGTGTAGAGGGAAGTGCTTTTCTTTAAAAGGCTAAAAAAGGCAATGCTTTAAAGGCTGTGTTGCTGACCCATCTTTTGTAGCTCGTGATGAGGCTCCTTCCCCTGCTGTTTTCACTCAGAACATAGTAATTACATTTTTATTATTTTTCCGTGAGTGAGGTCTCCATTCATTTGACAGTCTCTGGGTTGAATTTCTCAGGATGTTCTCTGACAGGAAAACTCAATGTAGCACCACTGATCTTCAGTGCTTCAAGCACGTAGCCCATCAGCATAGCAAGGTCTGTGAGACTCCAAGCAGGGGTCAGCAGCAATGCTGCAGGTCGCCGGTGCTGTGCTGGCTTTACTTGTGGTCTCATCTGCTCCCCTGCAGATCCTGGGGGCACCACACTCCCCACTGGCACACCTCTGCTTCGTGGGACCTATCTGGCTGGAGCCTCTTGCTGTTGTGTGGTCTCCTGACATTTTTTAGCCTTTCTGAACCAAAACTTTCTCAGGAAATGAAGCCCAGTGGCATGTTCCTCCCACTCACATGCAAGGATCTGAAAACAAACTTTCCTAACTAGCTCGTTTCCTAATTAGCTCTTTGGATCATAATCCAATAACACAAACAAGTAGTTAAATGTACTAATTCCCTTCCTCTTAAAAACAAAACACAATCCCAGCCCTTGAAAGCCCAATCTGAATTCAGCTGTGAGAGAAGGGCTGAGGCTGCAGCCTCACCATGCAGTCACCCACCGTGGGAACCGAAGCCTGGGAGGGGGACGGTGGCCGAGGACCAGGGCAGCTGGATTGGTGGGGGGCTGCTGCTCAGACCAGGATGTCCATGCAAGGTTTGCTAAGCACATCTCAGCCTAGGAAGCCATCATTCTTCTGTTGACTTCAAGACATTAAGTATCAATCAGGAAAGCATGTGACTGCCAGCAAAAGATTTTTTTTCCAGCTGCTGTGCTAACCTTGATCGGGGCAGTTGAGTGCTCCGCTCAGTGTCCGAACCAGTCACCTGCCTGAGCATGGATCAGAGTTTTCTTTGTTCAAGTGTGGAAAATAGGCACAATGTGCTGCTATGTTACATTAAGTGTGTGATTTAGCTGTCTTTGATCTAGGCCAATAAACACTGCGAGTGTTTTATGCCTTACCCTTCTGCTTCCCTAATCAAGAGGTGTCTGCAGAGAATAGTGGGTGACTGGAAAGGATGTTTATTTCAGGAACTACCTGCCAGAGATGGAAAGATATGAACTGAGACCTCAGATTGGAAAAAGATTCGGAGAAGCTCATTACACCTCCTTTTTTAACTCCCACTTCTTTTTTTGTTTGTTCTTTAAAAAAAAAAGAAAGAAAAAAAAAGAAGGAAAAAAAAGATAAACCCCAAATGCCAGAAAGGCAATCAGGACACCCAGCTGGGCTCCCTCAGCATGCCCCTGCTGATCTGAATAAGAAGGATTAAGGCAGGGAGGGGATCCCTTTCCTGCCAGACAAGAGACCTATCAACCAAACTGAGAAAATGGATGTGAAGGCATTAGGTTGTTTGAATTTCTTGTGGTTGGTTGATTTTTTTTAAAAACAAATTTTCATTAGGTGAAATTGATGTGTTCTATGAAAAAAAAAGAATTGGCCCACACCAGGATGCTGAATCACTGTATTTTGTTAAACAGGTGAGGTTTTTTTTAACAGTGGGAGGAAAGAAGAATGAAAAACAACTGTGAAAGACCTTCCAGAAGATTTAAATGTTTATAAGTGGGACAATAACAATAAATTGCAGAGCTGCTGGCTTTGTTACAGATGGTGCATGTAAAATGATCCAGCAGTTTGTGCTGTATTTTTCTATTTGCAGGGAAGCAATAAGCCGACTGTGTGAAGCTGTAGCAGGTACAAATGGAGCTATAAAAAAGCGGAAGGTAAATACTGTTTTAGCTGAATGTTTAATTTTCTATATCTGCTTTTGATAAGCTGGATACATGATTCCCTAACAGGCTTCAGTCCATGCTAGAGTTAGTGCATGTTAATCCATCTGAACTCGGTATAACATGAAATTACTGCAGCAGGGTGTTTACCTTGCTCAGTTTGGGGCCGAGGCCATGCCCTGCCTTATTTCCTTCAGGATTAATGCTTTGCCCAAAGTTCCTGCTCCTACTCGCCTCTGCAGCACTTGGTGCTTTTCCGGTTTTAGATTCTGACTGGTAAAATGCCAGAGGGTTTTTTGCCTTTTTTTTTTTTGCCCTATTGAAAAAGATTACCTGATGGTTATTTATATATATATATAAAAATAAACACAACTAAATAGCAATGTTTAATGGGCTGATCGCTTATTTAATAACTGGGATGCAGTGAAGGGCAATGTCAGTGGCTGCTGTTGGGTCGTGTCCCTTCCGTGATTCCCTTCTGTAACTGTGGGGCTTGGGAGGAATGAATGTGCTCCTGAAAAATGAATACATGAGAGAGTTTCTTGATTTACTCAGAAACCCTTCCTTCCGAGGAATGAAGCAAAGTTCTTTTTTCAGGAAGATACACATTCTGATGAATTACCGAGCCAGCTATAACATTTATCTTGCTGGGATTTTGCTTTAAATCTTTTTTCCCATTATTGACGTAAAAAACCATGCCTACAAGTATTGTATTCAAAGCTGATATTGATTAGATTTATTTGCATTTGATCAAGCCAGTATCCTTGCTTGATTGAAATTCTCAATATCATAAAGTCTTTGACATGTTTCTGCCCCTGACAGACTCAGCTGACAGCCTCTTTTTTTTTGTTGTTTCTCTGTTCAAAGCCTCCAGTGAAGTTTCTGTCTTCTGTACTTGGCAAAAGTAACCTTCAGTTTTCTGGCATGAATATAAAGCTGACCATTTCAACAAGCAGCCTCACTTTGATTAACGTTGACACGCAGCAGGTAGGATACATATAAATCAGTGTCTTTTTCTCCGTGCTGCTGTGTTCTCCTTCTTCGTGGCTTCTGAAGGAAAGGCTGGGCGCTTCGAAGGGAAAGCAGCATCCTTCAGTCTTCTTGTGCATGTGTGGTAAAGCTGAATTACATGATGTGTCTGAATTTAAAAATGAGAGCACTTTGAAGGAATTGGGCATGCAGCACATGCCCTTTTTGTTTATGATGGTGTCCTCTTTGGGGAGGGATCCTCAAGCGCTTGACAAACTGTTTCTCTGTGTATGAGTTTGCCTGTGCTGTGCCTAATAAACAAGGCACTAGTCCCAACTGGAGTTTCTGTCAAGTCCTAGGAGAGAAAAAAAAAAAGAAGATATAAATAATGAGTCAGAGCTTGGCTTTGGTGTTGTTCAAAGCTATTTTACAGCTGGGTGATATACGTGCATAATCAGTTACACTATGCAAAGTCTCCGGGCTTTATTGAGATGTGTTTCTGAGAGCCTGGATCTGCCTTGGAACTGGCGTGTGCTCCCTTCTCAGCAGCTGTGATGAGGAGCTTTATCCTGCCCACCTAATTCCTCCATCAGCTGTAGTTTCCGCTCCCAGCATGATCTTGTCCCAGGCCAGCAGTGGGTTTTGCTCCAAGCTGGAGCAGGGAGTGTCATCAGGGAGGTAGTTCTGGCTCACTGACTCTGAGGAGTCGCTCTGCTGAGGTGATGCCACGCTGAGCATCAAGCAGCTCTTGTGCCTGTAGCACAGAGGTCTCCTGTCCCTTGGCACTCTGGGCTAGGTGGGTAAGGGTTTATGGTACCAGGTTTTCCTTTCTTTCAGGCACAGCAGCAAAGGGCTTGCCTACAGCAGGTGAAACTCTAGGGGTTGGCAGCTGAAGTATGGTCCTTTTAAGCTGTTCCTGTTTGTAACAGGACTAAAAGCCAGCTGCACAGATCTTGCAGATGCACTGATATTCCTGGTCACTGCACAAACGGGCACACAGGGCACTGTCTCAGAATTCTTTCTAGGTCTTTCATCACTAGACCTTTGCAAATGGAAAATCCTCTTTATTGTAGTTTTGTGCTGCCATCATGTTTCATTGTGTTCACACCTGCATAACCTACTGCCCTTGATTCTAAATGAGGAACAGTTTGTCTCTAGAGATGTAGCATTTGAAACAAAGAAAAGTTGATGCTTGATCCAGCTAGTGAAATTTCTACCAGGTAACAATTTGGTGCTAATAGTGAGAGAGAATATGATCAGGGTATCCGTGGGGCTCGTTTGTAAAAACACCACCAGTATGTACACTAGGCATTTAAATAAAATTGTTGGTAATTTTAAAATTAATTAATATCTCAAGACTCTCTAAATGCATCCTGTGTCTCCAGTTATTCCCCTTCCAAAGTCTCACTTAACTTCATATGACCAGGTTAGAAGTTGGTGGTCAAATTAATTCTGAAAACCCTTTAAGGAAGTTTACTCGGGGATCTAGGTATTATTAGATATGAATGGGTAGTCATAAAAATATTCCTGTATTTATCTCCTTCCTTCACAAATAATATATGCATGTGTTAATGGATTGGGTTGCCCTGAACTTATTTGCCTGGTAGATGAAGATATATGCTCTGCTGTTTTTCAAGTGTGTGGCGCATGAGTACGTTTAACTAGTTTGTCATGCTTTTCAGATTATTGCCAACCATCACATGCAGTCCATCTCATTTGCTTCTGGAGGTGACCCAGTAAGTATTGATTTATAAGATATACTTCCGCAGGTATAATGAAATTATTATGAGAATCAAAGTACCTGCAAATACTTTGCCTCCTCCCTTCCTATCCGCAAGCACTTACAGAGTACATCACGCTTCTGGATCATGACCAGTAATACAGGAAAACTGTGGGACTGAGACTGGAAAGGAGATGTAGAGCAGAGACCCAGTGGATCTTTGATGGATACGTATCGTTAACTTTCCTCTTGCCCATCCAGGAGGCTCAGTTCATTCAAAAGGAGGTCTAAAAATAAGAACATGTGAACATAGGAGTTGCATCACTTCTGTGGTCTGTGTAATTTAGTACCTGTCACAAAAGCAGTCAACAGTAGCCCCTCTAAATTATTAGCCTGATTTTGAGTCAAACAAACAGCTCCTATGAGACAGATGTGGCATAACCTTCTTCCTGCAGGTATGAGCTTTTCTCCAAGTATCACAGTCATGAACTCCATTGATGTTTTCAAGCAAGAAGTTTTTTATCCTCTTCCAAACTGTTTATTGGAATGATTGTAAGCATGGAATTTGTCATAAACATGCCCTAATCCCTCTTCAAATCCAAGTGTTCTGGATTTCCCACTCCATGTGATATGAAAACAGTGGTGCGGCTGTTGACACTTTTATTACTGGGAGAACATGGAAAATTGAGGTCTTGCTCAGTGGTGGCCACTATAAATCTTGTAGCACTTCACATAATGGGCAATATTTTGGGTGGCTTGTTCAAGTAATTTTTTCAAAATTCCCTTTACTTTTAAAATGGGAGATAGTTTCCACAGGACATGTCTCTTGACCTGTCCCCATGTTCAGTGTTAAGGAGTACCAATATTCTGCCCAAGAATAAAGCCTATTCTGGCTTTATTTTAAAGCAGTCATCCATGGACATACACAAACATTACAAAGATACAGAAATAGCAGGTACTGCTCCAGTTACTTCAGTTTCTAGTTGCTCTCTAGATCTAATTTATTTTAAAAGTGTATCTTAAAATATTTATGAACTTTAGGGAAAAAAATGAAAGGAAAAGGAAGGAAATTGAGTTCACTGAATGCAAAAGAAATATTTAGCTTTCCTTGGTTTTAATTATATTAACTTCAGAGATTTAAAAAAAAAATATGTAGGGCAAGTCTTGCTGGCCACAAGAACTCCCTCTCATGTCATTCATTGTGAATTATTAAATGATTGTTCTGGTGCATATTGCAAATTGGAGCCTTGTTTCCTGCCAGCTGATTGCGTCTTCCCTCAAGAGAGCCATGCCTTTAAGCTGCGAATTGCATTTTCCCCATCCCGCCTTAAAGATCCAAAATAACAAGATGCATATTTAATAATTAAAAGAATGTTATTCATTACCTCACCATTTTTACTATAACAGTGAATTATCAATCGACTCTGCTTTTGGAGTATGACAAGAAATGTTAATTTTTCTATTCCAGTTCCCTTTTCAGTTTGACTAGAAAAAGTAAGGATTATTTCAGTGTTGGCTGGGAAGAGAATCTGAAACAGACAACTGATTATACTGAGGTTGTCTGATCTCAGTAGCAGCCTTGAGAATCCAAGTAATTTAACCTGATCATAGCCAGACTAAAATCAGGCAGCAGCAATTGAGATCAAATCTCTATTTTGGTCTGAAATATTGAAGATCAACTTTTCTCTAAGATGTATTGTGAAGATTGAATTTTGAAGACAAGTTGGGAATATGCTAATTTGTGACTTGCAGTATATTAGCACTATTTTATCTTCCACTGGTATTGATAAGGGCTGTCCCAGCTGTGCCTGGCAGTCACACAGCCCTGATGCATTACACGGGAGAGGCTTCAAGCTCTGTGGGAGCAGAGAAGAGAGCAGCATTGCCTGCTGATGAGGCACCTGTTGTCTTTCTACTCCCATTGCAGAGTTTGGAGTCGAATACACCATTTACTGGAGACCAAAGGAATGCCAAATGGTCTAGTGCCTTTATTACAAGAAGATGCCAGGATAATTACTGTGTCTTTCCCTTAGCCCAATTTGCAAGTACCTCCAATTGTTTTTCCTGAAAGAAGCACACTTTTTAAAGCTAAAAATATATTCCTCTATACTGAGTTGCTTTACTATGACAGTAGGGTTGTTCATAATGATAATTTTCAAGACATTTGCTGTCTTCTTTCCTGTAGGATACAACAGACTATGTTGCATATGTAGCAAAAGATCCTGTTAATCAGAGAGGTATGGAAACAATTTTCAGGTTGTTATATATGATTACGTTATTGCTTTATCTGTTCTAAGAAATTGTTTGAGTTTTAAAATAAAAAAGCTATGTACAGCTCAGTATTTGGTACAATTTCTGACTTCACTGTATGGATATGCATGATGATACGCAGGCTGTGACTTTATGTGTCATATTTTTTTGTGCAACGAAGTGTGTATCTGCCCGTCTGACTAAAGCTGTACTAGCTGCTGGCTCCATGATGAGGGAGGGGTGGTAAATGAGCCTCCTCATCTAACCCGGACTCGTGGGTATGTTGCTGGAAGGAAAAGTGGGGTGTATACTCAGGTGTATGAGACGTTCTCCCCTCTGAATGCTAACCCAGGGGATAAAATCCCGTTCCATCACTCATTATTTGCCTGCAGTACGAGAAAGATTGGCCTTTGGCTGCTTATTTCATGCCAGACAGTTCTCAGAGCCACACTGCCAATGGCTATGTAATTGGTGGTGGAGCTCACTCTAAGGTGCTGTGGATGGCTCAGATCAGGATGTTTTCAGGAGAACTTGGACAGGTCCCTTACAGTCTGGCCAGCCAGCACTATTTTGGCTAACTCAGGGCAACCTGCAAGTTTACCAGTAAGCTCTGGTATTGATGCTGGGATGTGCAAAGCTCCTGTATCACGGCAGCTGCCCAGCACCATCCCTGAGTGCTCTCTTATGGTGGCTCTGCAGAGGGGAGAGCCAGTCCTGGGCACAGGACACTCACTACTGGAGTGAGTTTCATGAGGTTGTGCATGAGAACAAAAACTGGTGGCAGGAGCATGGTCCTGCCCCAAGGGAGCTCTGCTGCAGGCTGCCAGCACCACCCATACCTGAGTTTTCATGCTGTTTCACATGAGAACTGCACCCTAAAAACTGGTTCTTCCCCTGCTTTTGCTTACTGCCGGACAAGGAGACAAAAGGAGATACAGGAGTACTCCATGCAGGAAGCATAAATGGCGAGTTTCTTTTATTGAGGTATAAGCTGTTACTATATTTAAAAAAAACCTAGAGCAATTTCCTTAACATATTAAAGAATCTCAGTCTGTATACTCTCCTAAAGCTATCTAGATGCATAATTTCCTGCTCAGCTTTTCTCTGTAAGCAATATAGGTTGTGTCTCTATTTTATAGTGTAAAGTGCATTTACTTAATTAAAGTAAGGTGTCTCTTTGCAGCATGCCACATACTGGAATGTCCCAATGGGATGGCGCAGGAGGTGATAAACACCATAGGGCAGGCTTTTGAGCTCCGGTTCAAACAGTACCTGAAGAACCCATCTAGCCTGGTTACATCTACTGAAAGGTCAGCACATTCTCAGTCGCTTAACTGGCGGTTTCCTTCTCTATAGTACTTTTCAGGAAAACAGCATAGTCCAAAGAGCGATCCATAAATAAGATGCTTTGGATATGCTTTCCGGGCATAAATTAATTGTAATATATGCTGTATGTACAGAGTATAACAGACTGAAATTAGGTTATTCCAGTAAACTCTACTGATTTCTGTGACACTTGTACAGGTGTGTAACACAGAATTTAGCTTTAGTGTTCATTACCTAAATATCCTTATCTTAAGTCATGCAAGTAAGTTGAATACATGTTCAAATTCCTCTGTCCAAGTAAGTTCAGCTCTATAAACATTGTGTGCACATACACTGAGTTCAGTCCTGACCCATGCCAAGTTTAAGGCTGCTGTACCTTTAGAAAGTGTGTTGTTGGCAAAAAAAGTCATTGTAATTCACCTTTATGTTATTCTGCTCATGTCCTGTCAGCAGGCTCAGATTCTGCCTGACGTGACTTACATCAGCCTCATGTTCTGAACTGAACATAGCCACTCCTTGGCATTTTAATGTATGAAGCCCTGTCTTCTGCACATTGCTCAAAATATAGGGCCTAGATTTATGGACCGCAGTTCTGCATTTCAGTTACCCTTTATCCATAGCACTGGGGACACAATTCTTCCTCTAATTTATGGCTCTCCTCACAGGTTAGCCATGCCTGTTTTCCTCAGTCTTTTCTTTACTGTAACACCAGATTTGATTGATTGCTGCCTCCCACAAGTAGGTAAAGCCATAATGCTGCTTACCTGCGTTGTGAGCACCAGGAGACCCTGTGCAGGTGATGTCACTGGTGTGGTGCCTGATGCAATGCAACAGAACTGATTTTAACATATAACAGCATCTCCAGCTTGGGTTCATACTTCTGTCATATAGTGGTTCTTGCCATTCCACTGCTAATACTGGTCTGTTTTCCCTGGGGACAATAACCAGAGGAAGAGCCTTTCCTGTGAAATTCTGGTAGGTTATGCCACAAGTAAATCAGAGCAAAGAGAAATGGAAGAGGCTAATTAGATTCCCTGCTTGAGCCTAACCCACAGCCAGCCTCAGAGAACAGTCCTTGGGCGGAGAAGTCAGATATTCCTGTGTGAATGAGTCACTCACTTCCAAACTGCTATGAATCACATAATCAAATACTTGCACTGCGTATCACATAATCAACTACTTGAACTTTATCTCTTTCCTGCTCGAGGCCTTTCATCCAATTATATTCCTGTTTAACGGAGAAGTAAGATTTGAGATGAGCTTTTTATTTTGGGACCGGAGACAGTACAGGAAGCACCTAGCTGTTTTGCAGTTTATCAGCTGTACATTTAAACTATCATTGTTCTGGTTTAGCTCAAGAAAAACACTGGGTTCTCTCCTGTGTGTCATTCAGTGTTTTCTTCAAGCTGAAACAGAACAGTTGTATTGATCATGGTTATGAAAATTTTTTTTTTTGTTGCAATATTTGATTTTCTAAAACAGTTGCAGGCTTGTCTAACTAAATGCCATGAGGTTTTAATTTTCTCTTGTAAATGTTATCCATCCCCCCCAGCAATCTCCAGATTTATACAGTTGAGACAAGAAGCCAGAAGAAGTAGTTTTATGGTCTACATTTTAGACACCTGAATGAATGATGCATTGGCACTCTTCTCTTAAAGTTTCAGTAGCTGGCTCTTGTATTTTCAAGTCAAAGAAAAGGGATCTGGGCTGCCCAGTGCTGAGAAAATGACTGGACCTCCCTGCACCCCAAACTGTGATGACTCCATTTTTAATTCAGGAAGAAGTAACTGGAAAAATAAACAGCTCTGGAAGTTCAGGCCCAAAGCCCTTTACAGCCTCCATATGGCTAATCTGTGTATTGTGCGATGCGCAAACACTGGGCATGTTTGTCTACACTAGAAAGCAGTTGATTACATCAGTCGCTTTTTTTTGTCCCATATTTTTTCAGCGAGGCAGCAAATGCTAATGGATCAGCTGGGAATTCACAGGAGAGGGAGGATCATGAATATTACAATTAAATTCCTTCTCCCACTGGTGGAGTGTTAGACATGCGAATGAGAGTGCAAACAGACCAAAGGGCTAACTGTCTTCTGCAGGGCAAAAAGCAGTATTGCTTGGTAAGTACCTCATCTTCTGGGATAACTACTCGCTACCTATTATGAGAATGAAAAATAAAGTGTCACTATGGTGTAAAGGGTGGTGTTAACATCAGAATCAGGTTCTGATTATCGTGGGAAAGGGTTTTTTTAGGCTAGATTTAATGATGCTTAGTACATAATTGAATCTCAAAGCACCTTCTGGTTTGTCCTTAGAGTACTTTTAGGAGACCAAGTAATATTCCCTTGCTCACTTGTTAGCTGTGAGAAGAAAATAGATACAGATTTAAATGGTTTGTCTGAGAGAACATCTGCAAAGTCTGTGACCTCCTGGTTCTGTGATCTGATAAATATTTCATCCTGTCCATTACGCTCTCATCATCATGGCTAGGCTTTGCGAACGAAGATATGGGAAGGGCTCTACCCACACTTGCTACATTATGCTCTACAACCTCTGCATACAACAGTAACCAATGGCAATGTGCATACAACATTAATTACCCTTGGAGTGTTTCAGGAGTCTCTGTTAAATCAGCTAGAGAAGCAAAAGATGCCTCTATCTGTGGCTCTTGTCTAGGATAGTGGGGAAATAAAAAACGATGAGTCAGGGCATAAAACCAGCCAAGTTCAGATTGGCTGCACAGACTTCAAAGCCTGCTGCGTGAGTTCTTGGAAACACCAGCATTTTTCCCACTTAGGGAAACAGGCACCACTGCTTTGCTTGGAGGGAGCACACTCAGACATACCCCTGAAGTCTGTATGGTGTTGTCTAAAAAGTTGCTGCTCCCAAGTGTAATTTATGTCTGGTGGCAACTGCTCCCAGGTTCCTGTGCTACTGCTCTGTCCATTTTTTTGCTTTGTTAACCTCAACCATGCTCCCCATCTTGGGTGTGGGCCTGGTGGCATCTGCCTCTCCAATGGTTCTCTAAAAAAGATGTTTGACTATATCCTGAGTTTGCATCCAAAGCTCGCCAGAGTTGTTGCAAGGAGTTACCTGCAGCGTGTAAATGCAAATGCCTTATTTCCATGACGTGCTACTTTTTGGTTTTCCTTTCAGTTCTGCTGACCTTTTAGTGCTGCTCAGACAACCTGGTGACCGTTTCACTTTCAAATCATGATGCCTGTTGTTATTTCTCCTTGTTATTTTTTTTCCAAGGCATTCTATAAGAAAATCTGAACTTTATTACCTAGGGGTTATACTCTATATAGTAATCCTTAGATACGTAACTGGACAGTTAATGGTCTCTGTGAGGTTGGAGTATGTCCAGACATGATGCCATGTAGAAAGATGAATATTATCATCATGAAATATTATTTGAGGATGGGAGGGTTTTTTTGGTGAAGAAAATACATTTAGTTACCTGTATCTCATTTAACTTGTGCACCGATGTTTTAAAGTTACCCGAGTTTTCTATGGGACTGCTCTACATGACTGCTTTTACAATTTTTCTACAGACAGGCAGCCCAACATTCATCAATATATATGAAAATTGTCCAGAAGAAAACAAAACCGTGGGTATGTACTGTGTTTTCCTTCTCATGCACAAGCAGAATTAACCAAGGCAGGGTGCCTGGAAGAGCTGCCCCTTGGCTTTTGATACAGTGATGAAAAGCATTCTACTTAGTGGGTCATTTCTAGTTCCTTAGATGAAGGGAAGACAAAAAATCCTTACAGCTTTTCTAAAGGCCACTAATCTATCTTCATGCCTGCTGGCAGGCTTACTTGTTTTACTTGTCATGATACTGTACAGTAGCTCTTTGTTTTTCTATTCTCTCTCATACTCTTGGTTGTTTTATTCCCTTTCATACCCTTGGAAAAAGGAAGATATTTTGTTGCTTATCAGTCTCAGAAAATATCCCTTCACCCTACAAATGCTCGATGAGACCCAAACTATTGACACTGTGGTGTTCTTCCAACAGAGGCTGTGCCCTTGGTTCCAGCATCACTGGTTTCTCAGTGTGATTGTGCTCTTCCCCTGCCTTGGGTGGCTTTGCACCCGAGATCAATTCGCTTTTAGCAAAACCTGCTCTCTGGGACCCCAGGAGATCACCAGCCTCCATCCCTTTCTGGACTTCTTTTGGCACTGCTGATGCCCTGAGCACATTTCCTCAGCTCGTCTCTTAGACTGCACAATGAGGTCCTTTTTGCATTCCCACCTGCACTGCTCTGAAATGATCCATTAGACTGCACCGGATAGTTCAGTTTCCTGTGTTATTTCTGATTTAAGGAAAGGAGAATCAAATGGTTCCTGCAAAGAGAGGGTGAACGAATAAAAGAATGAATGAATAGATCCATGAATAAAGTGTTAGCTAAAGAGCAAAATTATGCGTGCTATTTGGCTAGCCGAAGTGCTATTATTTTCATACCCTGCAGGGGTTATTCTGTTAGCTTGTTTCTAGGCTTGGATCCTAACCTGACAGATGTGGCTTTGGCTCTCCAGGCAGAGCCACAAAGCATCAACCTCCTCCATCTTTCCTGCTCCACCAGAGTAGCAAGAGAGAGAATAGTTCAGCTTCCCACAAGCTTTTTTTGCGGTGCAGAAGGGAAGGAAAGGGTTTTGTAACAAACAATGTATATGTCTTGTGTTTCAGTAGAGTCATATGTATTAATTTCTTTTCACCCAGTGGGGGCTTTACCACTTACATTGATTTAAGCAAAACTGAATCAGTGTGGAACATTTTTGCAAACTCTATTCTAACTCATATTTGCATAGTGTACCTTGTGCCTTCTAGCCATAAGGAAAAACGAGTTCATCTGCCAATTTTAATTTTCTTTCTGAATTACTTCAGTGGGATATATAAGAACAACAGTGCTCCTATTTCAGCTTTTACAGTTACTTCAACTTGAGTTTAAATACAGAGGAAGGAAGTCTGTGCATACTATGTACTAATTGCAGGTACTTGTGCTGAAAGATCACAGAAGACAAAAAAAGAGGCAATGTTATTGAAGCCTGCCCACAAAAGAGATCTTTTTGATGATCCATGTTACATCAACACACAGAACCTGCAGTCTGCAGTCTGTACAGCCCGCGGTACAGCGACAACACAGATCCATGAGAGCCCACTGCGTCAAGCCAGTAGGTTCCCATTGCAGCACTGTATCTTTCTAAGCTTTGAAAAAAAGAGGGGGTCTTGTCACCTGTGTGCATGGAGAAAGATTTTGGTTTCCCCATAAGAAATATAGAAAACTTTGGGGTAAGAAATCCTTACAGTTTGTTGGGGTTTTTTTCTTGTTAAATTCAAGACAAAGGGGATTAAAGAGTAAAAGTAGTAAAAAAGTAGTAAAAAAAAAAAGTAGTAAAAAGTAGGCAGAGTAGCCTTTCACCTTCTGTAGTTGATTGATGAGAATAGTGTTCCACAGGTAATAATAAGCAAGTCTTTAAGATTATATGAAAGCTTGAGAATGCTCTATAACTCAAGAAAGAGGGTTCTCTTGTATGCTTACCAACTTGACCATTCTAAGGTAGAAGCGGCCTCAGATGCCTTTGCTTCACAGGCAGAAGCATGCCAGGTCGAAGTGGGATCGTTACAACTATCTTTTCTCATTTCCTGCATGAGTGACCATTGAATTTCATCCAATAATTTCTAAATAAAACTCTTTGATCAGTATTGTCTATTATGTCAAATTAAGTCTTGATTTACAGATATCCATTAACTGAATATACAACTATACTGATTGTCCCAATTACTGAAAATACTTTCTTTATTAGCATTGCCTTTTACAGTTTCCCAATGGGTGTTTTCTCTGTCAAAGTTGGCTCCACACAAGAAAGTGGACAAAGGACTGGACAGAACTGCAGTAAAGGGAATGTGTGACCACTGGGACATTTCCAGCCCAGGGCTGTATTATGCTTTAAAAGGAACTGGCTATATCCTGAGGAGCCTTAGGTTTTGCAATTCCATTGAAGAAGTGGCATCCTCTTATTTTCCTTAGAAAAATCCTGCCTGTGAATCATTTGTAGTCCTACTGACTATAGCCCAAACCACCCACTTTTGTTAGTACATTCAGTAATTGTTCGTTTTTTTCACAGCAAATGCATCATGCTGTAATCCTTCCCTTCTGGCTACATTGGCCATGATGTCTTACATTCCTGCACATAGCTGGAGCCACTCAACAGAACTCTCCCCATGATCTGTGACAATCTCTTCAGAGCTTGTTAAGGAAGAGGGAAAAATGAGATCTTTGGGGGGAAAAGAATAGTGGCTAATAAACAAAAAAAATCTTGGTTTTACAGGGCAGATTTGAATTTTTAATACAATCAAAGAAATATAAGCGTAAACAGTAGATCATCTGAAAAAATGCTGTTTCTAGTCCCTGTTGCCTAGCGACTCAAAGCTTTCCCAGCTAAGGTATGGGAGGAGATGGTGTGATAGTTTTACCTAATGCACTGGAGGGTTGTGAGCATTCGTGTGTGCATTTTATTACAGCCTGTGTGGCTGGTTTGATCATATCTTCAAGACTGAACCATTTGAATTTTTTAAACACTATAAAAAAATACAGTCTCGCATCTTTTTAGGATGAAATTCTAGGTGAAGTGTCTAATACATTCCCTTTCATTTAATTTTAGAGTTACCGGAAGCTGTTCAGCAGAACGCCACAAGCAACACAGCTGGTCTCTGTGTTCTGCCACAAATAAAGCAACAGCTAAAGAATGAAGATTGTTACCATGGCAAGTTAAACAGGAAAGCAGCAGAAAGCCTCTTAGTCAACGATGGCGATTTTCTGGTGCGAGAGAGTACAACGTCACCTGGTCAGTATGTCCTCAGCGGACTTCAGGGAGGGCAAGCAAAGCACCTGCTCTTGGTGGACCCTGAGGGCAAGGTATGAACATTTCATATTCTGAAATTTCAAGGCTGCTCAGATATTTCAGTCAAAATGCATGGGGGCATTCCAGGAAGCAGAACTGATCTGATTCCTTTCAGATTGATTTAAATTTAGCCAGTGACTTCAGTAGGTTTCAGAGTTCAGTCCAAGAATTTATAGGCACCAGAGCACCATGGGAATAGAAGTGAGGTGCTTCAATATTGTTGTTAGTCCAAGTGCTGTGCTGTTAATGAGTGTGTACACTTAATGCATCCTTGGAGTCGTTACTATATTGCTAGAAAAATAACCCTAACATTAAACAGTCTTTTTGTTCAGTAACACACTTCCAGATATAGAAAAGGTAGAGCTGGTTTGTTGTCACTTCAATTCTACTTGCTTCTGCTCAGGGCTAGAAGAGCCTTCTTGAGTGACATCTCTCAGATGAGAGTAAATCGGAAAAGTAATCCTTAGTAGCATTTAGGGAAAAACATCTCTTTTTCTGTGGAGGAAAAACCCAACAGGTTATTTCATTTCCCTTAGCAGAATCAGCCCAGTTCCACATAGTCTCTTTAACCTGGTCTTCTGCTTTCCATGTCTGCTCACAGTAGGTCAAGGGATAGGGCTGAATGGCTGTCTACAGCCCAACAACCCTGCTTCAGTGAGTTCAGTCGCTTAAATGCCTTTTGACTCTAATACACCAGGCTAATGTCCAACCAGTTATAAGCACTATCTAACCATAAATATATTATTTTGCTTCTTTCATTAGGTGAGAACCAAAGACCATATATTTGATAGCGTGGGCCATCTTATTCAGTATCACATGGAAAATAATTTGCCAATCATCTCTTCTGGAAGTGAAGTGAGCTTGAAGCAACCTGTAAGGAAAGAGAGTAGTGTGGGGCACATCCAGTATCACAAATAAACCCTTGGATCTTACAAACCACAAGACGGTTCAGACCTGAAAAGTGTACTGAGAACTTTCTATTATGAAGACAATTCAAAAAACTATAGACTGCACTTTCTGCTGCTGTTCCAGAAGATACCCTTTTGTGTGTTTATGTATGAATATATGTATATGTGTATATCTATGTAGATCTATAGAGATCAACAAGCATAGTTATATAGATATATATAATCTTAATTACACCTTTAGAGTGTGAGATTCGTTTGTGAGAAGGTATTTTAGACATGCACAGATGTCACTTTCAAGGTCATACTGAATCAGTAACTATTTAAAAGCACAATTAAACCTCTCCATGCAAAAGCTCACTTGAACGAACTGCTGGAACATTAGTATGTGCCTTTTAGCATAGAATTACTGGAAACCGATATTATTTATACTGAATTAGTTTTGGGTGGTTAAACAAACATGTCTAAGCTTTTAACTATTTGCCAAAACAAATACAATTTGAATATTACTAAAATGTCATCTGCTTTCGATAGACACTAACAATTTCATTTTGCTTGTAACAGCACTTTATTAGCAAGTAATGTTTGAAAGGAATAGCATTCACAATACAGAAAGGTAGTCCAGTTTTTAAAATCATTTTTTATCACTGTCTGACTACTCAAAAGATTTGAGATTATGCAACATTTACAAAGTTGAAATTAATATATGTAATATAATTTTGGAATAGAACTTGTTAAAGGACAAGCATGCTAGATCCTAATATTTTTGTCTTGCATATGATTTTACTATTATTACCAATTAATACTGAGAGACATCTCTTTTTAAAGGCAGGCTAAATATATTTTCATTGATTACATAGTTGTTTACAAACTAGAGAAGCTGAACAAAACTAATGATACATTTTGAGAGAAAACTATTTAAGACTGTTTGAACTTTGCATGTACCCTTATTCAGTGTTCTTTCCAAAACAAGATAGTTTTCCCATTCTTCACATATAGAGTCCATTTGTTCCTAAACATGGAAAAAAGTCTTTTAAAGGAAACTATGAATTGTTCTGCCACAATAAATTCTCTAAATATGAACAATCCTATATTCAGAGTGATCAGTGATTTCTTGGGCTTCCTTTTGAAGAAAGAGTGATTTAATAACTAACTGAAGAAAGGCAGGGCCACTTGGGGAATGAACTGGTAGTCTGGGTGATGGCCTGAGAAAGTTGTCTCTTTATGATAAGCAATGTTTTCTGGCACAAGCTGGGACATTCTCTCTGTCTCCCAGCCCACCAGCTCAGTTCCATAAGGTAGACAATTGTTTAATACAATTGTTGTGGAGTTCAGCAATTGCTGGAAGACTTGACTATAAAAAAATAACATTCTATTCTTTTGTCCGTGTTCATGTTAAATGGGAGCTCTTTCCTCTAGAAAACAACAGGAGTTATATACACATAAAATTTTTGAAGACATAAGTTTCCTTGGAAGGGAAAATATGTAAAGAGCCACACTCAGAGCTCATGAAAAAACATCTTTATTCTCATCCTCAGCTACTAGGCATAAAATATATTTAATTCCTTGATAATAACATGATTAAAATACCCAGTTGAATCTACTGGAAGCAGTGAGAAGCTTTTAAACATTATTTGATTTCCTTGCTAGTAGTATCGAAACCTCAAGCCTGCAGAGTAGAAGCCCAAGCTTATGCTTGTTCTATCCTGTGCAGGGTTTTCACGTGTGAAGAAGGTCCTCAGCAGGAGTTCATGCAATAAACAGGTATCTCAAACTATCCTGATGTGAGAGAAAGCAAGAAATCCAACTAATTCGAGCACAACACATCCCCATGTATTACAAACAACAGACATTTTCCTGGAATAAATTACATTTATTCTTCTGGAGCTGGAACCAGGAACTCAGTGTTTGGTTTCTAACATTTATGGGCCTTCACTTAGCTGTTAATGCGGCTTTTAGGCACTGTGGACCAGCCATCTCACATGAAGTACTCCATCATCTCCTCTGGGGAAGTCTTAGCAAAAGCATCTGTGCTGAAAAGAAAAGGAGTTATGTGCAATTTGGAAAGTTTTCCAAAATACCATTTGACAAAGTTAGTATGAATCGCCAGGCAACACGCTGAGGTTTTTTGTTTCGTGTCTGTGAAAATGCTGAGGAGAATTATTCATCTTTGTTCTAACAGGTAGTAGAAACTCTCGGTAAAACCAGTTGCTTTTGCCTATGATGTCACATTTACAAGCCGTGTTCGTTACTCTTCAGAGCTCCTGTTGGTTTCACGAACACGTCAATCCCCGCGTCCGCCCCTTTCCGTCCCCAA